GATGCGCCATGCGTTGAAATATATGTATCATCGCCAAACATGCTGCAGCCGATGAAGACAGGCTATTTGGAAAATCGTCTATATACAATAAAAACAATAATGTGCCAAGATTTGAGTCCTGTGGCACGCCTATATATAATGTTTGGCTAACTTTACACATTTGTGCTCTACCAAAGAAATAGGACCGGACTTTATTTTTCGATTTTTTGTTGGTAAGCTTATTAATTGGTATATATTCAGATTGTTAGAAGTATTTGAGATATAATATTATCGGCCTTAGTTATTTCAATCGATTTGTTAAGCTCATTTCGCACTTTGGTAAAAGCGTCATGAAATTGTTTTGATCCAGTTTTTACTGCCTTTCTTTTCAAAAAGTACGTACGGTGTGTCATGTTTTTAATTCCACTGGTAATCCGTGGAACATACTGGCTTCTTAATTACTTTTTTAGTAATCGGAGGAGCATGCCTAGCAGCTACCGCAAGAAACATGTGTTTCCGTTCATCTCACACTTCATTTGGGTCATTAGTTTTTGAAATTGTTTGCATATTAATTGCATGCAGATCTTGTTTCAAATCGCAGACGTTGTAATTTTAAATTACCTTGTTTTAATTATTTTGGGCGCTTTTCGTTGTATCGAAATTATTCTTTGAATAAAAATAAGACTATGGTCGCTATTTTCTTAGTGAACCGCTCAAGAATTAACCACAATTTCTAGTTTATTTATGAAAGCTAGTTCAATTTGTGTTTTGGAACTCTCAGTTACTCGTGTAGGCTCTTTAATTAACCGTTCAAATTGCAAGGTTTCAGTAAGTTCGACAAGTTTCTTTGTTTGTGAGTTAGCATTGTTGTTTACAATCTGAGACAAGTCATGCACTCATGCACAGTTGAAATCTCCCATCAATATTACTTCCTTATTTTCACAATCCATTTTCTTGACGAGTTCTTCGCAGTTATTAAAAATTTCCACCGAGGAATCAGGTGGTCTATACCAACAATTTACCAAGAAGGATTTTGATTTAGGTTTAAAGATCCCAACTGTAATTATTTCAAGATCACACGACATTAGCACTTCTTTTATTTTACAATTAATAGAATTTCTTAAGTAAATAGCAACTCCCCCGCCATTTCGGTTTCTATCTGTCCTTACGATTTCATAGCCATTGGTTCCAACTTCGTGATTAGGAACCGTAGCATCAAGCCGAGTTTCATTAATACAAATCACATCAAATTGTCGCTTATGGAGATAAAGTTTATGGAGATAAAGTTTGTGGAGATAAAGTTGTAACGACCAGCCGTACTTAAATTTACGATGATGACCATACGCTCTCGCGCATGCAAAAATAAAAATTCTAAAGCTACGTTTACACGCTGCGATTAATCGTGTACGATCCGTATTCGTTAGTATTAAAGCGTGTATCGAAGCGTGTAAACGTAGCTTAAGTCAGACAAAAAAAACAGTCGGACCTCGTTCGAAAAAACAAATCGAACCGGAACGCGTTTCACATCGACGCACGCAACGCCTTTAACGATCACGCCTGCAAACTGGCTAGGTACAATCGAAAAAACACAATTTGATAGAAAAATATGATAACCTGGAAAATAATTAGGTGCAAGTTTCTGTAATTACTAGGTACAAATCTATAATGATGCAAATGAACACAACGGATGTTTTTGAGTCTTCAACGTATATTAATAATTTGTTATCAAAACTACCTGGTGTAGTCAACCATCAAACTTTTAAAGATGCCGTAGCGTCCGTTATGCGCATCAGTTCTGCTCATAACAAAGGGGGACCCGCAGATATAACCAATTCCAAAATTTTGCATCTTAGTCGAACTTTTTTGAATTGAGAGTTGAAACGTTTAGCTTATATTCATTTTCAAGCATAGCGAACTAGAAAAGTGTTAGATATTCAGCAAGTGTAACATATTCTCCTTGTTTATTTTCCATTGTAATTAAAACAATGTGAAGAGCAATTTTTCAAAATAGACTAGCCATTTACAAAGCAAAGTTACCATCATTCGTCCAAGAATGATAAAAGTTCGCTGTTATGTGGACTTCTCTAGCGGTCGTCGGCTGAAAAGTCACTCATAAATGAGGGCGAGAGAAAGGCTAATTGGTTTCGATAAAGTCGCATATTGATCGGACAGTCATATCTTCGACAGCTGGGATACAGTGAAAATCTTACGCCTGTACCAGGTATAGTTACCTCTGGTACCAGAATATCGAGTTTTAAAGATTACGAGCTGTTTAATGTGGTTCAGTTGGGTGAGGTCTTTTACCTTAAGACCTGTCGAGCTGGAGTTAAAACCTCCGGTTACTATGACAAGTGCGTTTGGCTGGTTGGACAACAAGGTATCAAGATTTTTATGTACAGTATATGTTCTCGTATAATGATATTCTCAGGTTCTTTATTACTCGTCGAATGATATATCACACCTAATACAATTGATGTCATTCCTTTTGGTAGGCTGTGCGGTCTCATTGAGATCCAGATTGATTCGATTTCGACTTGATCACAGGATTAGAAGAGTTTAGTTCATGGTACTTCATGATCCAGATAAACACATAATCCCCCAACAACAGGAATATCCGCTGATAGCCATGGTTCTGTTACACAAATAATTGCCGCAGAATTCAACTCAACAATTTGTTGGATTTCGTCTACTTTCTTAACCAGTGCTCTTACATTTGAAGATTGATAGAATCGTAGGAATATCGTAAGACTTAGGATGTTTTAGCCTTCTCAGACGTCGTGGAACTCTATGGTTTACAGTACAGCTTTCCTCGCGTTATTTTTTGCTATACATGTATTGTACTGATGGTCATAAGTTTGAGATTTTTTGCATTTACTGCGACCGGTTATAGTCGGGATGGGTCTTTTAGATTGGGAACATATCTTCTGAGGTATGGGGGGTTGGTCGAATAATTAAATATAGCGCTATACTTGAACATATAATATTTGTTAAACAGTTAGCATAATGATGTATTTTATTATTCAATTTATAATATACAAGACTCTTTATGCCCTCTACGCCCGAGTTGAACCCGATAGTGATGTTTGATGCTAAACGGTAGTTGCCACCTACTTGACAAGGGTCAAGTTAGTGCTGTTGCCAGTCTGGGGGACGATGCTTTCGAATATGACCAAGAAAATGTTCTCGATGTTTCAGTTACTTGGTACTTGTGTAATTCATTAGGTCTATTTTTATTGAAATGGCTAACTAAAAAACCACCATCCTTGCTTACATTTGTTGTCTTTCTTCTTTTACCAACAATCGTTTTTCTTCTACGATCACGCGGAGTGATTCTGACTGGTATTACGGCATGTTTTCTACTCGGAATCTCTTTAACGATAGGATTAATTAATTTTTTTTTAGTGAAAATGAAGCAATCTGATTGGCTGATGAGCCTTTCAGAGTGGGCCGGTTTTTTGCATCCTACCCGCTCTGAAACGCAACTGCCCGCTCCGGCTTTCGCGGCAAAACCTGAGGAGTGAAACAATTTTTAAACGAAAAAATCTGCCGAAAACGTTTGAAAAACATAGCCTAACGATAGTCAGAATACGAAAATGAATTGCATCAAGCGCTAAAGACTTCATACTAAGCACGATGTTCACGACAATTGACAATATTTTGATATAGAAATGCGTCTGAAAGTCGGAAAGTATTTGACATGTATAAAACTTACGTCGAGAAAACTATAATTTTTGAATGCTCATGTATTCGGCCACTTAAAATAAAAAAAATTACAGCTTAAACAGATATTGGAAAATAAATGTTTTCCGGCCCATTTAAAAGAAGGTTTAACAGCAGCAGTGAAAAAAAGGCACGAATATATTCTCTACCCATTTGTGTCATGTATCTTTCACTGATATGAATATTGTAAACAAAGTAAAAGTTTGTGTTTAAAAACATTTTTTTCAAGCGTATTATCGTGAAACGACAAGAAAAAATACAAAAATATAAAAATAACATACCTTTTTCATTGGCCTTTTAGTAGAAAAAAGTTGACTAAGTCAAATCAGATTCATTTTTATATGTTTTCGATCTGATCTGAACATGAACCTGTCGTAGTCAGGAGCGACTTGTCAAAGCCAAAGCCAGAACGCCAGGCATCAAAGTTTTTATTCCAAAGTTTCTCTGCTACCATATTCATGAAAAAAGCATGTACATTTTTACTGAAACTATACGTCTTTTTGTGTGTTTCTTGCCAGTTTTCTCGAGTTTTCGTATTCGTGTTTTATATCTCTTAACTTTTCAATTTCTGTCAGCCTCGCTTTGAAAATACACAACTGCACTGATCTCAAATTAGTTCGCAAGCAACACTGGAATTTTAATGTTAGATTAGGTGCTATGTGACTTGGATACGGTTGAAGCAGAATCACAATGACTATTCAATATGGCAGTCCATAATGTGAATTTAACATCACTGACTCCCTCATGCACCTTTAACTTCAAGAAATTTCTTTTTGTTCAACCAATTTATTGTCACCTTTCGTCGATTGATCTAAATACCTTCTTTTCGCCACCCAGGGATTTCCATTCGCCTTCGTTCTTGAAACACTCAGGGCCTCTTTTAACATAAAGACTGGGGGGGACATGGCCCCCCCCCAGCCCCCCTTACTGCCCCCCCAGTCGGCAATTTTGTCCCCCCCAGTAGAAAGTCCCTTTTCATATTTTTTGGTGTGAAAATAACTCCCAAAGTCAATATTGGACAACATAATTAATCCTTATTCCAGTATTCCTTTCGCAGAATCTCTGCTATTCCTTTGCCTTCCCTTTCTGGACAATGAAAAATAGAAAAATAGTCAAATAGGAAATTTCGATCTGCAAAAAAATATTTTTCAAAGTGGGACTGGGAACGAAAGTGGGAACGTTGGGATTTTGGGGGAAATCTCGGGATATTCGGGAAGCTTAGTTGGGAATTTCAAAAACATAATTTACATCAAAATTTACATGCAAATTGCTTGCCTTTGTTTGTACTATTAGTATTAAAAATGCCGTATGCAAATAAAAGAAAAGCGAATATTGAAAAACTGTTAAAACAAGAAGCGAGTAAATGCCAAAAGGTATCGGATTTCTTCACAAAGAACGAAAATGCAAGAACATCGTCATCGACATCGTGCGATACAAACGTTGAGAAGGAGTCAGAACAATTATTAAATATGGCGCCAATTGAAGTGGAAAGCGAAGTACAAGGCACTGCAGCTACTGAAGGCACTGACCAAGGAGAACCTCGTAAAGACAATGAACTGAATGAAGTGGATTTTGATATTCGAAATTCAGATAGGGAAGGTAATGTTCAATTTGTTCATACACGGGCTCCTTCGAATAATATTCCAAGCAATACTACACCTTCGACCTTATCGTCAACAAGCTCTGAAAATATAAACAGCATTACTTTGGTTACAACAAGTGACGTTGGTTTGCCAATAAGCACAGCAAACACATCGTCAACGCAAATGACTACTGAAACCACTACTGAGTATTACAGAGGCTACCCATTAAACCTAAAAGCACTTCTAGGAAAATTTGGAGATGGTGTACTATCTCAATATTATGAACGAAGTAGAGTTTCAACGCAGAATCGCCAGAAAGCTAGGGGTTTTGTCAAGTGTTGCATCTGTGGTGAATTCGAAGAGGAAGCAAAGCGCTTTTCAGCTAATGGTAGAGTGTACATGGCACAAGGTGTGCGTTGTGATGGGAAGAAAAAGATACAAGATGTAATTGATCATCTACTGGGGCCTTCACATAGAGCAGCTCAAGAAAAGAAACAGCTATCCAAGTTGTGGCATGCCAAAGACAAACGTCACCCATTTATTAACTTGGCAACAAAAAGTGATCCAACAGTTTTGAAGACCTTGACTGAAATGGCAGTAGAGGTCTATAATGACAGTAAATCTTTGACTTTAGCTGCCTGGTCATGGCCAGGTAGATCTCTTGCTAATTTACATGCACAACAACAGTTTAGGTCTTTAACTGACAGTGACAACGTACAAAGTTTTATCCCGTTTAAACCAAGTGGAGAGGAACTTCATTATAGGGATCCAATGCATTATGCAGAAATGTTGGAGATAATAGGAGATACAGAGAGAAAGCACCTTAGAGAAGAACTCCAGAACTGTATTTGTTTTGCTGCACAAATGGATGGTTCTGTCGATGCTAGGCAACACGATAAGAAATTTATATTTGTTCCATTCAATACACCCGAGGACCCTCTTTCTATTAAGACAAGATTTGCAAGTGCAAGTGCAAGGGAAAGAACCAAGCGTGGTGCTGAAGGTTTGTGTTCTGCCATGACAAACTGTTTTGATGACATGGGCCTTTCTAAAGAATGTTTGCAGTCAAAATGTGTTGGGATGAGCACCGATGGAGAGTCTGCAAACACTGGTAAGGATTCTGGACTGTGGGCTAGAGTTGAAAATTATGTTGGTCGTTCAACAAGAAATATCTGGTGTGCATGTCACCGATCAGACTTAGCAATGGAAGATGTGATGAGGTAATAATAATAATAAATTAATAATAATAAAATGATGATTACAATATTTCATTAGGAAGTCCACTCACAAAAGAGATTTTAAGTGAAGCCCTGAGCAAAAAAAGATAAAAAAATAAATTATAAGGCTATATTAATGTTAACATTTATAATGTCTTAGGTTGGTACCTGAACTGAAAATCTGGCTTTCCAATGTAACGGAAGTAGCTACTTATTACCGCACATCAGGCCTAAGGACTAAGGAGTTGAAGACCATAAAACCAGACATGAGAAGTTTTCCTCCTCATCATGAGGTAAGGTTTGCTCAACATCTTGTTCAACTTTGTGGAGCGATACTATTCAATTTAGATGGATGTTTAAAGCACTGGCGAAAGATTTGTGATGCTCCTCGAGAATATAATACCAAGGAGGTATCGTCTGCAAAAGGATTTTTAAAGTTGTGGCAACCAACAGGAGTGCAAGCATGGCTAACTGCTGTTATGGTGGACACATGCTGTATCTTCAGATATATTGAAAAAGAAGCCCAGAAACCTGGCATTATCATTCCTGATATCTTGAAGTACAGATAGTTAGTAAGTTACTTTGTTTATAGAAAACAAATTGAACTCACTCTTATTTGAGTTCTTTAACAAAGGTGTATTATTCATTACATTGTATGTTATTTTACTGCACATAGGTGGGCAGGAGGAGTTATTAACAAAGAAGATGCAGAACTGCATCCAGAGAATGATGAAGCAGTGGATAATACACCAAGAAGGACACACAACACCAATGTGACAACGTTTCGTAGAGGAAAACAACCTATCAGGCAAGAGGTTATTGATTCTTCAAGGAATTTTCTCCAGGTAAAATGAGATAAATAGGTAATCTCATATCTGTTTAGCAATCAGGTCACACCATATAAAGTTTTTAATTACTATTACCTATATTTTTTATGTATATCATTATCATGTTTAGACCAGGCTCAACGAGGAACAAACAGAAATTGTAACAACCATTATCAACTTGACCTCAGCAAAACGTGCAATTGAATTCATCAACATCAGAATCAGTGATAAACAAGCATTTATTGATGCAGTTTTAGAAAATTTTACGGAAATGCTTCCTGATACACATATTCCTGCAAGAGACTATGGTGTGAGACTCTACCAAATGCTAAGGGGCAGCAAACAACCTGTGACCAAGTTTTTGTCAGGTTTTTGTGTTCTCTGCCCTCACAGTATGACGGTGGAAAGATGTGTGTCAACGTACAACATGTTATTCTCCAACCTGAGAATGGTCACATCTGAAAAAACACTGAATGATAGGGTATTGATTCACTGGGATGGAGTGCCAACATCTCAGTTTGACCCCAGTCCTATGGTGCAAGAATTTCTACAGAAAAAACAGAGGCGAATGAATCTTCCTAATCTGAGTTCATATGCGGAACGTGACTTCGTAAAGAAGTTTTTTACATCGGACTGCTGATTGATAGATTACATGTATATAGTGGTATACTGTATAGATGAGTTTCACTAGCTGCCTGGCAATTATATATAAGTGAGAAAAAGGTGTGTTGACAACTTGACATTATTTTCTAAATTTGACCATCATCTGCTGCCCTAGAGCGAAACCCATATTTAAGCTAGTAGCCGCAATTTTATAGACTTTAGTAGATTTTTTTCAGGTCCCCTTTTTACATTATTTTTGGTCCCTTGGGAAAGATGTCCCACCCAGTTACATATCCTTAAAAGAGGCCCTGGAAACACTAGCTGTTGTACAAATTATTTTATGGAATAAAAGTCACTCACCTATGCTATTTTAATATTGTCAGCAACACTATGACTCAATTCGTCAACATGTTTTACAGATAAATGATCATCTACAAGACTTTTATAGTTTAAGATTGAGAGTGTTTCGTCAGCCATCCCCTCTTAGTTTTGTTACAATTTGAATTCAAGTTCTTACAAGAACGATATAACGTTCGAACTTGTGTCCAGCTTGAGCAGCGGGAGTTCAGCGGCCAATCAGCCGTCCAACCAAACCACCCATCCATTGTTTCATTTGCCAAGTATGTGTCGAACTAGGTAAGGATCGAACGTATGCAGAAGATACAAGTTTGACATTGACTTCGGCACGTTGGAACTTCAATGTATGGTTGAAAAATATATATTTCATATCAAACAATAATAACAGGCTAACAAGCTATCCTTGGACACATTGAAAACTGTGTAAATAGTAATACGTTCCAGGCAAAAATTATCATCTTTGGACACATAATTGTCATATCAATTGATCAGTTGACGCAACCTCCTCTCTTAAGTATTAGTAGTCATGCTCAAGTAAATAAACCACAAAAATATGGCGACCGTGTAAACACGGAATGAGAGATTATACTTGTAATCATTGAAATATTTCGGTTGTTTCGGCAGTTTTTATTGAAATTTTTCAGCATAATCAGTAATATGATACTTTATTTCCCATCATCCCCTGCGCGCATAATTTAAAAGCTGGAATTGCCTATTGATGTATATAAATTGCAATTTTGAAAGAATTTACGTGACGCTACCTTATCCATTCATCTGCAGAGGTTTGCAAGCTCGTAATTTTACAGCTTTTAATCCCCCCCCCCCTCCCTCTCCAATTAGATACATAGAAATTATGTACACTACAGGGTGAATAAATTCGGGTAGATAAATTTGTGAATAAATTTGCGTAGTTTAAGGTGTGCCTTACGTCTTCCGCAGGCCTTTCAAAAATGTAAATTGGTGGGAAACGAACGGAAAGGCCTGCGGATTAATTTTCCAAGATGGCGGAAGCCACCAGAAAATTATAATTATATATCATTTATATCAGATCAATATTATTATTAAAGTCGTTAACTATGGGCTCTTTCCATTTAATGGCCTGACCGGTCAGACCCGAATTCTTTTCCCTGCATCAATGGAAAGATCTGGTCTACGTTTCTCAAATATCGTGCGAAAATGGACCTCATTCTAATGTTATCTAAATTTTCGGGTCAGAATGGTCCGAAGCCCAAATGTCTTGTGTTCAATTCAACAATTTGACCGTTCTAACCAGTCTGGCCGTGTTAATGGAAAGCGCCCTATTTATAATATAGACCCGCTTTTCGTATCGTCAATATACAAAAGCAGTAAAAACTGAGCAAACAAGCACACATTGATGTATAAACAGAAGCAGATAAATATAAGTTTATTTGCATATTAAATTCCAACAGACAAGTACGCTTTTATATAACACGTCGTATGTCAGGTTTATTCACGAAATTTATTCCATTTATATTTGTCTTTCATACAGTGTAACTATTTAAATGCATGTGTATACATAGTCATAACCGGCATCCCATTTGACCAAATGATAGGTTCACGACGTCTATATCCCTGTCGCTTCTGCTTGTAAAACCCGCTTCCATTCTTTGAACCTTCTCGTCGCTTTTATCCGCCTTAATTAACTGCGAAGATGTATTTAGAAAATACTCGCAAAACAAGATTGCTAAAGATTGGCAGACGATGTGCAATATTTTTGAAGAAATTTGTTCCAACCGAGTAATCGACACTAAAAGCCAAGTAATCGACATGTTATTCAGAAGGCACTACAGCTACGCAAGCCTTTGTCTCAAATTTGAAATTTCAACCTGCGAACGGGCATACTCATTACGGGCTGCATGGCCTGCGGAAGGGATAGGGGTATAGTCTGCCAGTATATATATTTTACCACCGAAACAACACTTTAAAAATCGCTAGCCCACAGATATGGAAGGCTTAAGAACACATTTTTTCAGCATTTTGAAAAGAGTATATGCAAGAAATAAATTATAGATGAATAATATCAATAATGCGAGTGGAAAATTATCCGAGAAAGGATAATATCGAAAACTAGGACATTATATGCATCCAATTGTTTGGTACTGTACGTTGATAGTTCATAAAACACCTTCTAAATTTGCAATCTATGAATTCAACCTTCCCTGTTGGTGCGCAAAGCATTTTTAATGTGCTTTTTTTAACAACCTCCAGCACTCACAAACTTACTTTTAAAATTAATTTTAGAAGTAAAGATACTAGCAGACCCCAGCACTTGCATAACGTTTCCCTATATTTTGTTGGACTTGCAGTTAATTCGCGAAAATTCCAAACTGTGCACTTCTTGTACACTAAGCCCGGTATTACAGGGACCTACTCACTCGTAAAAAGATGGTTGTGGTATTTTACAGTAATTTTGTGGTAAAATTATTTTTTGATATGTACACGGTAAAATGAAAAGAATATATTAATTTAAGATTGGCTATTAATGTATAATAATTCTAATTCTTTCTATTTTGTATTCTGGACAACAGGAACTTATGAAAACGAAAGAAACTCGTCGACGGAAAAAATTCAGTTTTCGAAACTTAGATGGTAATGGATCAGCTAATTATCCTGCGGATGAGGATTTCAGCTATTTATATATTATATATAAAGCATTTCAGCCATTTATATATATATATATATATATATATATATATATATATATATATATATATATATATATATATATATATATATATATATATTACAATGCTAGACTAGAAAATACATGCATGCAGAAGCCCTCGCCTTGCTGACAAAACCGTTGTATTTTCCGGACATGAAGTATCTAATGTAGTTGTCATGGTAACACGATAATTTTTTAAGAATATTCTTACAAATGAAAAATCGCCTAAAATATCACTTTTAATTACAAATTGATCAATTTCCCAACATTTTTATGTTAGGTGTATATTATACGTAATATAAGCTTCGATTTAAGGTAAAATTCAACCACAATTAACGCTTCGCAAAGTGTTCTTTATAAAACTAAACTGCCTTTAATTAAATGGCTTTGTCGATAAACTTTGAGTTTGCAATAAAATGATTTCAAATTCTCGCCTGCTAACTTTGCTTTCTTTTTTATTTATAAAATTCAATATAATTGTGGCCAGGTTGAATAAACTGTAGAGAGACTCAGAGACACCTTAATAGTTGTTGTTAGTTAACTTCCTGTTATGATCACTTCCTGTGACGTCATGAACACGCCATGCTGCAAAATGCAGTTGAACAAATATAAAAGCTATTTCAATTTTCAAAAGATATTATTCAGTATTTTATCGTCAAAGAAACATTTATATCGAAGAAAAGAACAACAGTAAAAGGGAATTAACATTCTCGGGCAGTTGCCCGGTAAGTTAACGTTATTATCCAGTAATTATAGAAGTATTGCTGTCTTATAATCATGTTAAAGTTATAAAAATATACGCATGAATATATTAATCGTAATAGCTGTTGAAGTATGGTCATTTTGAGTAATTTATGTAAATAGTTCTTTAGAACGGTGCATGATTTGTCTTAAGTTTGACATTATAGACGGATATATTTATGGTTTCATCAACTTTTGGGAGATATATTACTTTGTATTTGATAAATCGGAATGTTTATTGTAGGATACAGGAAGTGTGTATTTTAATATTTTGTTTACTTAGTTATATTGCATTAACTTTTATAGCTTGTAACCGTCGCCCTCGTATTTTGGGGTACATGTTCAAAATAAAAGAAAATTATAAACAGTTTTCACGAATCTATTATGTCCCGGCCACATTTGGCGTAGTCGGCAGGATTATTTTGAACATTCGTGCAGTAAAATGTTAAAATACTATGTCTGATGAGGAGCAAAACGAGGGCGGCGATGTTGCTGAGGCAACGGCCCAAGGCGGTGAGGACAACTCTTCATTGGAAACCTTAATGGCTGAAATCGAAAAGTTAAAAAATGAGAATAAACACACAAAACAAGCACTTTCAGCAGTAACTGTTAGCCAGGGCGAGGCTAGTACTTCAAATAAGAATGCACCATCTAGTCCAGCACAGACACCCCAAGTTGTGTATGTTTCCCGAGAGCGTAAAATACAAAAGTTTTCTGGTAGTAGAAAGGCAGATGAAGATACAGTGGAGAATTTTGTTGACAATGTGAAAAGTTTGATATCAGCTAGGAAAATGACCCAAATTGAACAAACAGACTTTGTGTTATCACTGTTGAAATCATCAGCGAAGGAAGAAGTCAAATTGCGCCCTACAGCCGAACGTGACACTTCTGATAAAATCTGCAATATCTTATTGGAGGCTTTTGGCGAGCGGAGAACCACACCACAGTTACTAAAGTCATTCTACGAACGAAAGCAAAAGGATACAGAAACCCTGAGGGAGTTCTCGCATGCGCTGTGTGAGATTTACAACCGAATTTATCCGCGAGACACCACCATCATACCTTCTCGTGATCAGGCCCTCCGCGACAAATTTGCTGACAACGTGAGAGACCCACTTCTACGGAAGGAATTAAAGCGCATGGTACGAAGCAACTCCAGCTCTAAGTTTCTAGAAGTACGAGAAGAAACTCTACACTGGGCGGAGGAGGATGAAAAGATGCGTCCTACAAAAAGAAATGTATCAAGTGAAGCAGTTTCAACCACACAGTCAAACAAAGAGATGGATAAAGTATTGCAAGCCCTCGAAGAGCAGCGTAAGTCGATTGATAATTTGTCCCAAACCCTTATCTCCCTTTCCAGATCCAACAATAATATTCAGCGGCATCAGGGAGGAAGAGGCGGCCGAAACCCCTCCCTCCGCGGTTTTGACGAAAGAGGGAACAGAATTTGTTTTAAATGCCAAGGAGTCGGACACATTGCAAGAGATTGTGTAAATAATACAAGTCAACGCCAGAATGACGGCCTTCCCCCATCCAATGGCCCACCACGCAATACTGCCCCACCCTCATCGTATGTCCATAGCCAAGATACATCAGCGCCAAACGGTCTCCCTCCACAGTCGCGAGTCGGACAGTAGGAGGGGAAGGCGCAGACTCTCATAGCATACCAGAAAGAATAATTGGCAAGTGTCCTGTTGCTGTTGTGAACATTGGAGGCGTGTCTGTATCATGTTTACTTGATTCAGGCTCTGAGGTCTCTACTATTACAGAAGAATTCTTTAATACTCATTTTAAACCAAAGGGACAGGAACTACTTTCAACCAGTGGGTGGTTAAAACTGACAGCAGCAAATGGGTTAGAAATACCCAACCTTGGATATTTCGAAGTTGACATTGAAGCTTTTGGCTTAAACGTGCCCAGACGAGGAATACTGGTCGTAAAGGATTCTGCCAATGATGCTATGAGAGCACGGAAGAGAGACGTACCAGGTCTCCTTGGAATGAATGTACTATGTGAAATGGGACAAGTGTTAGCTAAGTTCGAGGGAACGGAATTTTTAAGTAAAGTTGATCCTGTATAGTCACAGCCAATCCAGGCTGCTAAACGTCGTGCGAATACATCAGTACGAGGTATCGTTCGAGTTGCAGGAAAGCGTGCAGTACGGATCCCAGCTAGTTCGGTAACAACAATACCTGCCACTGGTTGGGGTGGTCAAGTGAAGTGCGAGATGGCAATGGTGGAACCAGTTGTAGGACAACATTTGTCGCACCTAGTGGTACTCAACACCGTCGTGAGACCGTCATCCCCCTTCTGTGCGAGAGTTGCAAATCTAACCAATGACGATTTGTGGATCCAGCCAAGGACAAGGATAGGTGTTCTTCATGCAGTCAGCAACATCGAAAGTGGTGTGGAATTCAAGAGAGTGTGAGTCAACGAAGAAATGGTTAAGGTGCAAGATAGCGAGAACACATCAATTCCAGACGTCGTGGACAATACTGAATGTCCTTGCAACGGACTTTCCCCAGAGCAGCAAGAAAAGCTGGACGCACTGTTGAACAAGCATGCTTCCGTATTTTCAAAGTCAGACGATGACATTGGCTACACGGAGACGGTAAACACAAAATTAGGACGGAGGATGACATCCCGGTTACGCAACCCTACAGACGAATTCCCCCAAATCAATACCAAGAGGTGAAGGAACACATTCAGAAATTACTTGATAGCTCAGTCATTCGCGAAAGTCACAGCCCTTATGCATCTCCTATTGTGTTAGTGAGAAAGAAGAACGGCTCCCTTCGCCTGTGCGTTGATTATCGAAAGCTCAACTTAAGAACGCAAAAGGACTCATTCCCTTTACCCCGGATAGACGAGTCACTTGATGCTCTAAATGGTGCACAGTGGTTTACAACATTAGATCTTGCAAGCGGTTTTAATCAGGTCGCAGTCGAAGAGGAAGACAAACCGAAGACCGCATTCACTACCCCGTTTGGACTGTTTGAATATAATCGAATGCCGTTTGGCCTCTGTGGTGCCCCTGCAACGTTTCAGCGACTGATGCAAAGCTGCCTTCACGACCAGATCTATCAACTGTTGTTGGTTTACCTCGATGACGTTATTGTTTTCTCAAAAACATTTGACGAACACTTGGGAAGACTGGAAAAAGTTTTAACGAGGCTAGCGCAACATGGGTTAAAGATAAAGCGAGAGAAATGCAGTTTTCTTAGAAAAGAAGTTTCGTATCTGGGATATGTGGTTTCATCTGACGGTGTCTCGACTGACCCTGACAAAATATCCGTGGTGAAAAATTGGCCGGTACCCAAGACCGTGAAAGAACTTCGTTCGTTTCTTGGATTCGCTAGCTACTATCGTCGCTTCGTAAAAGATTTCTCCAAGGTCGCTGACCCACTGCACGAATTACAGAACCGGTGTTTACACGAACTGAAACTAAAGAAACATCTGTTAGTACCCTTCCCAAAGCGTTGGAAAATTGTTCATCAACAAGCCTTCGATAGGCTTAAGCATTTGTTGACAACTGCGCCAGTATTGGGATATGCAGACTTCTCGCAACCATTCATACTCGAGACTGATGCTAGCCACCAAGGACTTGGTGCGGTTCTTTCCCAAGAACTTCAAGGAAAGAGACGTGTTATTGCGTACGCAAGTAGACGACTAAGACCAACTGAACGCAATATGGACAATTATAGCTCCATGAAGTTAGAAATGTTGGCTTTGAAATAGGCCGTAACCGACAAGTTCCGCAGTTATCTGTTAGGAAGCAACTTCACCGTTTATACTGACAATAATCCCCTGAAATATCTTCAAACGGCAAAACTTGGAGCAGTAGAACAACGATGGGCTTCGCAGTTGGCATCTTTCAAATTTGACATTGTTTATCGCTCGGGAAAATCGAATGCTAATGCCGACGCATTATCACGCCTCCCTCACCATGATTGCCCAGACAAACTTTCGTCGGTGGTGGAAGTAACGAATACCTTGGCTCATTCCTCCAATACAACAGCCTTTCCACCCCACCTGGCTACTGCCACTTTGGAAAAAAGTGCAAACATAACCCTTGAAGGTCCTCAGCAAACGTATGTGGCAAACAACGCTATCAACACAGAACATAACGTACCTAATTCAGGAACGAAGTCATTTCCAAGTTACTCCAAGTCCGAGTTAATGCAGATGCAACAAAGTGATCCAACGATAAGCGCATTCCTGAAATTTTGGACAGTTGGTAGGAAACCCGATGCAAAGGAGAAGAAAGATCTCACTATTGGTACCCGTGTCTTGTTACAGCAATGGAAACGGTTAGAACTGAAGGACGGAGTATTGTACCGAACGATTATTGATCCACAACAGCAGGAGGTACGACAGTTGGTGCTACCTGAGATTCTAAAGGAGAGAGTAATTCGCAGTCTTCACAACGACATGGGACATCAGGGCTTAGAGAGAACTATTCTTCTAGCTAGATCTCGATGCTACTGGCCAGGTATGTACACAGATGTCGAGAAATGGATCAAGTCTTGTGAACGATGTGTTTTGTCCAAGATGCCACAACCGCGTATTCGAACACCAATGGGGCACCTTATTACCGAAAAACCCCTGTCAGTTCTTGCCATTGATTTTACGTTGTTGGAACGTTCGAGTGATGGAAAAGAAAATGTACTGGTAATGACTGACGTTTTCACTAAGTTTTCGTTAGCAGTACCCACGAAAGATCAAAAAGCATCCACAGTTGCCAAAGTGCTTGTCAAGGAGTGGTTTCAAAAGTATGGCACACCGGAACGGATCCATTCGGACCAAGGCAGGAATTTCGAGAGTGCAATCATTCAGGAACTGTGTCGAATTTATGGTATAAAGAAGAGCCGCACAACACCTTACCACCCACAAGGCAACGCACAATGTGAAAGGTTTAACCGCACACTTCATGATTTGCTTAAGAGCTTGCCTCCTCAAAAGAAACGTCGATGGACCGAGTACCTTCCTGAGCTACTGTATGCCTACAACTGTACCCCGCATGGTACAACCGGTTACAGCCCATATCATCTTCTTTTCGGGAGATCACCAAGGTTACCAGTTGACTTACTCCTCGGAGAAGAAGAGGATGAACCTCAGAAACAGTCTGCGAATGAGTGGCTTACTAAACATCAAACCCGCCTACGGTACGGTTGGGAAAAAGCAGGGGAGCATATACGCGAGTCAGCAGAGAAGAGAAAGCAAAGAAACGATTCAAAGGTGTATGCGCCAGATATCAAAGTTGGGGAGTTAGTTTACCTACGAAAAAGAGTTTTGGGGCGAAACAAGATCCAAGATGCATGGGAACCTACCATGTTTACCGTGACTGAAGTACCGACCAAAGATGGCGGACCATATACTGTCGTACCCTATAGTGGTCGAGGTGCCCCAAAGAAGGTCAGTCGTGTTGAACTACAACCATGCCCCATGAAGAGTGACCCTCCTCAACCGATACAACCAACGACGATTAAATGCGTTCCCAACCGAGCCATTCATGAAGATACGTCCTCAACTGACACCGAATCGGAGTTTATGTTGCTCGTTAATACCCCTTCGTCACCCAGAAAGCATCACATATCCACTTCCAAAGACGAACAAATTCAAGCAACTCCAGACAATGATCCAGCAACAACACTCCGAAGATCGAAACGGATAGCGGCGAAAAGACAGAACACTCATCAAAGCAAATCAAATCCAACATGCAATCAACTGATGGTATCGTACCGAGACTTTAATGTTTATGTCCTAGTTATATGTGTGCTTATAACTGGCATTTCCGTGATCTCTGCAGTTATATAGTTAGGTCGAGGACGACACCTTGTTAGCAGGGGAGAGTGTGGCCAGGTTGAATAAACTGTAGAGAGACTCAGAGACACCTTAATAGTTGTTGTTAGTTAACTTCCTGTTATGATCACTTCCTGTGACGTCATGAACACGCCATGCTGCAAAATGCAGTTGAACAAATATAAAAGCTATTTCAATTTTCAAAAGATATTATTCAGTATTTTATCGTCAAAGAAACATTTATATCGAAGAAAAGAACAACAGTAAAAGGGAATTAACATTCTCGGGCAGTTGCCCGGTAAGTTAACGTTATTATCCAGTAATTATAGAAGTATTGCTGTCTTATAATCATGTTAAAGGTATAAAAATATACGCATGAATATATTAATCGTAATAGCTGTTGAAGTATGGTCATTTTGAGTAATTTATGTAAATAGTTCTTTAGAACGGTGCATGATTTGCCTTCAGTTTGACATTATAGACGGAGATATTTATGGTTTCATCAACTTTTGGGAGATATATTACTTTGTATTTGATAAATCGGAATGTTTATTGTAGGATACAGGAAGTGTGTATTTTAATATTTTGTTTACTTAGTTATATTGATTAACTTTTATAGCTTGTAACCGTCGCCCTCGTATTTTGGGGTACATGTTCAAAAGAAAAAAGAAAATTATAAACAGTTTTCACGAATCTATTACGTCCCGGTCACATATATATCGTTGTCACAGTATACCATAATGCAATGCGCCAATATGATGTGTTACAAGAAACAGTACAGATATACATAGAGCTCACTGGAAACAGTAAACACGCACGCTTCGTGTTGTATATTCTATCTTCAAAGATGAGCAATCAAGCTTGGAAGAATTTTTGAATTAAACAAAATGTGAAGGATAAGCGAATGGCAAAAGGAAGGAAAAAAGAAAGATCGGCTGTTTTAAAGACTGGTGAACTTATGGTTCAGCCGCTGAGTTCAACCGTGTCAGGAAAGGCTCAAAAATACTCGAGAGTATATGACCAAGATAATTTGTCTCCTTTCCGCACTAAGAAATGACGATACAACATATCCATTACCAGAAATGCTGGACATTTTGCGGCTGCGTTTTGTCACCGGATAATCGCTTCATAATTAATTTAGAAAACAAGATGGCCACTCGATCTTTGGGGAAAGGCTCTGTACTTTGCAGTTTTTTTTCATAATTCAGTTATGTTCGGTGGATATCATTTTTGACGAAAATAAGAAATTAAAAAAACAAGACCGCGAACTGTCGGGATAACCGCAGCAAAGGTCAAGGAATCCCCACACAAAACAAAATCTCATTCAATAAATCCCTATGTTGCCTTACATAACTGAGAGGAGGTTCAGAATTAAACTTTATTTTCCAATCTAATATTCTCTTTTTATAATCTTCCAGAACCAATGACATCTTTAATATTTTCCGCGAATATATTTTGAAATGCCCGCCAAATTTATGCACGTATAAATTACTGGTTCAAACGCGAAAGAGACTTCACACGATCACTCAAATCTCTCTTTTTTGCGCAGTAAGAGACTAGGAACGATTGTGAATGTAAACAAACAAAATGGCTGCTCGACAAAGCATAAAAAAGAGGGTCGAAGATGCAATATTGACGTCTGTAAAACCTATGAAGATGGGTAATTTTCAAGCGATTTTGGAACTAGTTTGCTAGCTTTTGTTAGCTGTTTTAACAGATCAAACTCGGAAAGATCATCGC